AGAACTCTACCCACTCCTTGTAATCACCAGCGGTTAGCTGTACCCGTACGTAGTGGGTCATTGCTCCGGCCTGGTTAGGCGTTCCATCGATGTTGCGTACATAAATTGGACATGGTAGTTCATGCAGTAACATCCTATTGCGCTCCGCGTATCTCCTGTTCATGAAGAGACACGTTGCCCCTGAATCGACCATAGCTGTGGCTCGTATCGACTTATTCAGACCCCCAAGAATAACAGGAATATATAAATGTCCAGAATGAAAAGAACCAACAACGTAGGAAGAAGAAATGTATTCTGCCAAATAGCCTCCATCAGGAACTTGTTGTTTTGGTGTTGGATTCGGGCTACTTGGTTTTTTAATGTTTTTGTTATTTTTATAGGAAGGTTTTTGTCTAGTATTTTTATCAAAAGGGGAAGATGATGTAAAAGTGGGAGTTGAATCCCGAATAGTGTACATAAAAGGAGGGGTTACGCCCTCATTGTTCAAAGCACAATTCGAGTCAAGAACATCAAAGGAATTGGAACTAACTAAGGCAGGGGCATTACCCGAACTGCCTGTGAGACATTGTCCTTGAGAATTGAAAGAAATAGAAACAGAATCAAAAATAGAAAAGGGGGTCTTCAGTCCGTCTTTACGCTCCGACCTGTTTACAGCTATGTACAGGTCATCCTCTAAAAAGCCGCCTTAATCGCCTCATGCTCTTTCATCAGAGCCGACATCTTCTCTTCCAACGCTTTCAACTTCTCCGCATTGTCCGTGTTACCAACCGTTACAGTACCTTGTGACTGTCCTGACCCTGACGCACCCGCATCGGCACTAACCTGCTGCGTAGACAGGAAACCCATGAACTTGCGCATGCAAGCCGTGCTCCTGTGACCAACCTTCTTGCAGTGGTAGCAGACGTCGCGCTCATGGTTGCCATTCTTAGCGACGTGCTCCGAAGATCCACACTTGTTGCACTTGTTCACCATGGCCCGCTTGAAGTCGTCGTAGGTTTTGCCGTTAGAACCAGTGTTTTTAGCCGGGGCCTGTACCTTGGTCACCCGAGTAGCGTCGATATCCATCGCGTCTGGAGCCGGGATCGAGGAAACGGTAGAGTGCCTACTCTTGCCGGACTTTTCCTGATCACGTTCGCGGATACGTTCACCAGCCGTTTGTGCCGCACGGTAGACGTCATCCAAGCTCTCCTTGTTGTACGTCAGATTGATCATCACATCCTTGACACGTTCAGAGAGACCATCACGGAATTCGCGGGCGAGGACAGTATCGGGCCAACCAGTACGAGGGGCATGTTCATCGAACTTGGCCTTGTACTGTTCCACTGAGCCTCTGCCTTGGGATAATCCTTCCAGCGCCTGCTGAGCCGTGGTTTTAACGTCAACCGGTTCGAATCGTTTACGGAAAGCGGTCTTGAATTCAGGCCAGTCCTTAAACGCCAGCTGTCCTAAACCAAGCTTCTCCAGATACGGGAGTGCCCATGACTGTGCCTTGTCCGTGAGGAAGTTCAGAGCTGATCCAATCCACTTCTGATCGTTCCGTGTCCAGCTGCCATCCGGGTTTGCTACGTTCATCGCAGTTCCCTGGTTCTGTGCCCAATTTACGAAAGTCGCCAGGAAGAACCGAGATGATGAGAGGTCACCGCTGCCGTTGAACATCGAAGGTTTCGCTACGACACCCTTGCCTGTGCTTGTACCTGCTGCTACTGCCGCCGGGGTTCTACTGATCGTTGCCGACAGTGCCGAGACTTGTGCCCTTAAGGCGTCCGTGTGTACTCCAAGGTCGTGAATGCCGCTAGTGTTTGTGTTCTGAACAGCGACCGTGTTGTTCAGGACGTCCAAAATGTTGTCGATCTTGGTCTGCTGTGCCGTGATCGCCGTTGAAAGTGTCTCCATTGATGCTGTAACATGCTGGAACAGCCTAGTCATTTCTTCTGCCGTTAACAACGACATTGTTGGTGGTGTGGGAGCTCTTGTCCCGGGGAGTGGTGTATGTGTTTGTGATTGCGCAGGGGTACGGTGTGATTCTACAGGTATCGAATCGCTACTGGTTGTCTCTGAACCGGACTCTGATCCTTCTTCTTCACTACTATAAACCTCCAGTCTCCTAATTCGGCCTAGAGTTTCACTCTTACAGTCGATCTAGACTTGTACTGCTTTTCTCTATCTATTTCACTAGCAGTGACAACCTTTTGAGCTGCGCTAGTCCTA